CCGCCGCCGCTTCGTCTTTACCTCCGGTCAAGACGGTCCTCTCCGATCCGGTCTCGACCCCTCCGTCCTCGCCTCCCTTCCCGTGTCGGTTTTCGAATCCAAAGACTGGAAGGAGGGTTTGGAATGTGCGGTTTGTCTCTCGGAGGTTGTGGAGGGTGAAAAGACTAGACTTTTGCCTCACTGCAATCATGGGTTTCACGTTGATTGCATTGACATGTGGTTCCAATCCCATGCTACTTGCCCTCTTTGCAGGAACCCCGTTGCCTCTGAACCACACAACTTGGAATCAGAATCTCCCACTTTTCCCACCAACGTCTTGGTTTGGGGGGACAACTCTCAAATAAGTTCCACCGGTGGTGCTTCTGTTGAGGAGGTGGAGCCTGCTTCTCAGCCACCTTCTTCTTCCTCGGTTGGCGATGATACTAATAGACGTCATGGAACTTTGGTGATTGATATACCTAGTGACATCACTTCAACCTCTTTGTCTCCTTCTGATGAGCTCAAATCTCCAATGACTGGAAGACTCAGATCATTGAAGAGGCTTTTGAGCAGGGACAGAAGGTTAAATCCTTGGAGTCCTACTTCTCTAGATGTAGAACAAGCAGGGTCAGGGGGAGGAGGACTCAGCTGAACTAGGATTTTATTTCCCAATCTTATTCATTATTTTTTGTTTTTTATGTGCATATTGCGCATTCAGGTAGCAACTTGTGAGTGAAAATTGTATCTAGTGTCTGCCCGTACACCATTGGGGTTCTCGAGATAGATGTGCTATTATTGCCTTTCCAATACTTGTGCATAGAATGGCTGAGGAGAGTAATTGCTTCAAGTGTCTATGTTGTATAAATATAGGTTTCATTCAAGTAATACAGTAGAATGATCCTCTTTCTTTCGTTGGATATATCAGTTTTTTTGCACTGTTTTAACTTGATGTTTATTTGAAATTAGCCTGACCTGACCAAATAATATTGGTCCATTGTGAAGTGAAAAGGATACAATATGGGATCCATTTGCCTCACCATTATTTGCCAGCAAAAGTTTGCATAGAGTAGTTGCATGGAAATTACTCGTTAATTAAGAGGTCTTGTTCTGCTGAATGTTATTGTCAATGAGCTAAGGCATCACGTTGTAATGGATTTATAACAAGATATGAATAGAGCTGATATTGTGTAAATGCTTTATAAGATTGCCAGCGTGCATGGCTTTTGATTCTATGACCAGAGTCCGATTAAAGAAAAAAGATGGTTAATTTTTAAAAAGAGAGGGGAAAAATAAGCTATAGAAGGCTTTCTTACATTACTATTGAGGTCATTGTCTAGGTGACTTCACTGCGCCAACTGAAAAATGTTTTGTAGAATATTCTAGTTTAATTATAAAAAAAACCAATAAACAACTAGGCATTTCACTGTCCACAAGGAATCAATTGGGCAGATAGTCTAACGTTTATGTTAATAGCGCACACTGTTGTATAATTCTTCGGTTCAGTCTCAAAGTAACCCTGGGGGGTCATAAGGGTAACTTGACATGATTTCTATGTCATATAAAGGTGTTGATAGGCTTCACAGCATATTGCAGTCATTCCTTCCTCCAAAATGTTTACATTTTATCAGACATTGCTTATACTTTGACTTTATTGGCTGATGGCATCTTAACTTGTAATAAGGCAACCTCTTTTGCCTTCATGCTATAATTGCTTCCATTTTGAATTTTAGATTTGAAATTGAATCGTATACGACAAGATGTGTACAACATGGTTAATTTATTATTATTCCGGTAGGCCGAATTTACTAATAGTTTTGGGTATAACAATGATAATTAGGTTTGAATTCATCATCTGGTATAAACTTTTCAAGTTTTTCGCCGCTAGTCTAATCCTAGTGGCTAAAACATGGAACCCAAAAATGAGTATACAGCAAGCAACTAAGGGTACTATTGTGATTTGAACATTTGTAGGAGTAATCAAGTGTTGAAAAATAATTTGAAAAAAGGTGCCAAGGCTTCAATTTGAGTAAGAAAGAGTAATTGGGCAATAAGTGTAAGCAACAAAGGAGGAGCTATTCCCAAATTTTGTATTTGAAAATAAAAGGCAAGTACATGCTCATAGAGCTCAAAGTGAATTGTTTCATCTGATGAGCAGAAAATGAAGAAGGCATTGAATTCAAGTGACCACATAAAGGGGGCCATAGTTGTGCGAAGCAGCAGGAGGGCAGTTTTGTTGGTGAAGAGACACGTAAGGAATCTGACTCTCCTCTCTCTTTGTGAATTTGAAGAGAGGCCCAGAATTTGGACGCCGATACTTCACATCAGGATCAGGTCCTTTGCCACAGTTGTATATTGTTGGCCCAGAAACATGGCCCATCCTTTTCACATAAACCTTTGATTCACAATTATTGTTGTTGGTGGGTTCCTTTGGATGCTTGCTCCACCATGATGTCAGACAACTTTTCCATGATTTCTTCACTTTCTCCAATCCTGTTTTCCCATATTCTTCTGGGTGCACTGATGAACTTCTCACTTTTGCTTCATTTACATTTTGCTTTGCTTCCTCACAGAACTAATCAAATGCAAGTAGAATCAGAACTCTGGAGCATGCTTGTTGCGATCTTCAACATGCAAAATGACATGTTTCAACGTAATAAGTGGGAAGAAAACCAAGAATGAAACTGTTAGTACCTGGGAAAAGTCCTTGTGCAGATCAAATCCACTGCCTTGGTGCTCTGGAGATTTCTTCATCATAAACTTAAGCAGAAGGGCTCTAGAAAAATTGAAACTTGATTGCTTTGCTGCCAAGTAACGGCCATTTTGCATTTTAATACAAGGTTAAAGTTTGAAAGAGTAAGTAAAGCCTTAAAATGGAAAATCGTGGGTTCTTACCTTTACAGCAAATTATTCCATTTTTGTACTGAATTAAGTGGCTTGGATTCAGTTATAAAAGGTAATGATCAGTAATTGTGCCAGTTATGAAGATAACACGCTCTGGCGGTGGTTGAAATTGCAGTGTAGTTGTAGCCTTTTTCATTCATATTTGCTTATTAAGGAGGAATTGTCCAGCAACGGCACTCAAAGGAGAATTAAGAATTCGGTATTAGGTTCCATTTCATTTTGTAATAAAATAATATTTGATTAGTAAAATTATATTTTAAAATACTCTGTGAATCATTCATATTAATCCTATTCATAGGGAAAAAAAATACATTATTACGTAAACAAACATTATTCCTAGGATTATTTCTTTTCATTGAGCCATATTGAATACACCATCTCATTTAATTAAAAATGTTTATCTTTGCTCGCCAATTTAATTATGCTTTCTAGTGATCTGCAGATCTAGAATCCAAACAAACAGAAAACAGTGATAATTTGTTTAAAAATAAAGAAAATTTTGAAAAGAAGGACGAGACTCTGGCGCATGTGGTGCCACGGAATCCAACGGGACTTCAACCTTGGACGTATATTACTTACTTCAATCTTTTAGAGAGAAGGGGAAGTAAATTTTTTATTTTTAATAAATATTTTTCATTTAATCACTTTTAAAATTAAAGAAATAAAATAATAGATTAAGATAAACTTAATGTCTTAATCTTTTATTTATTTTATAAATAATATATAATGACGTGTTTGAATCTATATTCCTTTGATTTAAAAATTACGCCATTCTTAAATAATACATATAAATAAATACTATATTTAAATATATAAATTATATTTTATATTTATGTATAATAATTTATATTATAATTTTTTTAAAAATATTAATATTTAATTCATAAATAATTATGATACATAAAATTAAAAGATAAAAAAAAATTTAAAAATTACAAAAAAAATTTTCCTAAAAATACTCTAATACAAAATAAAAATTCGTATTTAATGAATATATAGAGGTTGATATCAAACCAAATATGAATTAAATAGATTCTTATATTTGGTTTAATTTTTGAGCTCATACAATTATCTAAACGATGATTACAAGTATTTTTTAAGATTTGATATATGTTTTTTTTTTCTTAACAAATATATTCCGATTAGAATTTTAAATTCAAAGACTTTCATTAATTTTTTTAAATAATAGATTTATGTGTTTTTATATTTTAATCAATATTTTAATATAATATATACGTTGCCACTTGACAATATAATGATATGAACTAAATGAATTCATTTTTATTAATATAGTTCGAAACTATTATTATCCTCAATTCAAATCAATTGGAACTAACCAGCTATTTGTAATTGATTCAAAATTGAAATATATCAACCTTTATACATCTCCATTAAAAATTAAAATCTAACTCTTTAATACACTTCAAAGAAAATTTTCTATTCTCGAGGAAGAATAACGGCAAAGTCGATAATGAATTTTTGATATGACCTATATATTTAAATAATAAATTAAATCAGATTTTTTATATTCTAAAAACATTATAAAACTAAAAGGTACAAAAGAGAATGCTCACTTATTCTTTTTTTCAAGATAATATTCACTTTTAGCTTCGACAAAATAAATCCTCTCTTTAATTGAAAATGTGTATGTAGTCTTTATTTTGATAAATGAGGAATTAAGGAAAATAAATTTTTGTTTTATTTTATAAAAGACAGACAACATCTGATATATTTTCATTAACGAAATACTAAAAAGAGATAATTAATTTTTGTAGACACTAAAAATAAATTTGTTCTTAATTTTGGAGATGGAAAACATATTTAACTATTAAATAATTCATAAAATGAGAATCGATTGAAGATAGAATGTATATTTAATCTAATCTTTATCTTTCTCATGTGTAATGGAATGTATCAAAAGCAATCAAAGCTTATTATTTGGACACTTATATTTGCTATAAAAAAATTATAAAATACATTTTTATTTAACATATCATAGGCCCAAGAAATTACATTAAAAAATTCAAATACCTGGATATGTAGTATTAAAAAAATTGAGTACCTGAGGAGCCCTTCATGCATGATTAAAAAATAATATTAAAGAGCGTGAATGAATCTCACATCAGGTTCTGAAATATGAACTACCGACGAAAGATTTCTTCTTTTAGTGAGATGAACTTGTGTCTTCACTCTGAAATTATTTGAAAGAAATGCCGCGGTGACTAAGCTGGAAAGCTATCTGAAACTTGTGAATAAGGGAGGGAGGGGGTGACACTGAATTGATTAAATTAAGACAATTAAAAATATAGGAAAGATATTCTTTCTACATATGAAAAAGGGAAATGAAGGAAACCCACCAACTTGGCTTCAGCTGATTTCTCAAGTCATCGGTAACATTATTATTTTGTATCAATAATATCTTCTCCAAGAAAGTTAAAGCTCAAAGATATAGTACCATCACGTGGCTTACCACATGATCTCTCTGAAATTTCTGTCTCCATTTTCACCAAATCCAAAGTCGAGACAATGCAAGATGAAGCAGCGGTCAAAAGTTGAGCACATGATCCCACATGAACCCAAAATGGCATCGGATCCCAATATCCTTAGCATTTCAGACAGTAATTAAAAAATGAATCAATACTAATATAATTCAGAATTCACCCTCATAACATCGTAATCATAAGAACCAAGATCCTCCACTACCATGAAGAGTTGGTCCATACTAGCACTGCCTGCGCTTGCTCTTACAATCTCACTGCTACTATTAACATGGTCTACCAGGGCCAAAGCTGAGCTTTTCCCATCAATACAAGTGCACTCTTGGCCACTAAGCAAGACTTCATCTTCTCGTCATCGTCAAGTAGATTTGCGAGCTCATAGGAAGAATCTTTCTAAGCGAGTAGAATCCAGTTTCCGAAGGATACCTCCAAGCAAATCAAATCCCACACAAAACAAGTAACACTTATTTTTAACACTTTCAAGCCTTTCCACTATAAACAGTTATCCTAAGATTGACAGAAAAATCATATTTCTTTCGCAGGTACAATCCTCCAACATATGGCTGACAAACACAACAAACAATACAGCAATATTGGAATCACCAGTCTCTTTTTTTTATCTTATTTCTTTAATTGTCTTAATTGCGCTTTCTAAAACAAACATAACTGTAGTGTATACTGCTATCTTGCCTTCCAACGGCTATGTGCCAATGTTTATATGTATCGCAATTTACATTGAGTTTTACAGTTTTGCTAACCAAGTTTGCTGGGTTCTCTGATATAACCTAATCTACAATATTTGTATTCAAAAACCGGGAAATGAATGATCTCCAGTTTCGTACGGAAGTCATATATATATATATATATATACAT